GAGAGGCTTTCCTTAGAAGTCGTCTCACAATTTTCTTTTTCAAGGCAGCTTGTAAAAGGGCATGAACCATCACTTGAATCCACCTGGTCTGGCTTTCTCCAGTTCTCATTAGGTTTTAGTAACCAAGATGAGCAGATACTTCCAAGCATTCTGTGTGTCTCCTTCCACCCCAATACAACCTCACCTTGACTGGATGGCTGTCTGGACACTTGTACCCACATTATATAGATGAAAGTGTCATGTGTCATGTTCAGAGTGAATATGGGGGATTTTATTCTGAAGCTGCCTAGCAAACTGGTTACAGCAGAATCCTAGATTCTGTGGATAAGAATATATACCTCCTGGTAATTACACCTGTAGTGGAATAATACACCTGGTTATCTCTTTGAACTGTTAGGAACAAAGGTATGCCAATGCACAAAATATATAGCAGAAGTGTTATTTCAACTGCCCAAAACATCTACTCTCCCATGAAATATATTGTTTTTAAATCATGTTCTCAAGAGACCAAAAATAGGTAGCCTTCGTTAAAAGTAACATAGTTGATTTACCACTTCATCACATTAGAGAAAAAAATCCACTTAAAATCTGGTTTCTGCCTCCTGCAGAATTCTGGGGTTTGTAGTTTAGTGAGGCTGTTAAAGGCTCCTCCCTAAACTACAAATCCCAGAATTTTGCAGGAGGCAGAAACTGGATTTTAAGTGAATTTTTTCATTAGTGTGATGAGACCATACTTTCAAACTTCATTTATTCAGCATACAGGTACATGTCTTATTGGTTCTGAATACACACTGCAGCTTACTGACACTACTGACTTCTAAACTGTACTGCTTCTGATGCAGACTCCTGTCTAAAATGAAGTCTCAGTATGAATAACCCCAGATCTGGTCACATCTTCTGTAGTCCCTCCCACAACCTCAAACAACAGTTAAGGGAAAACTGCATATCAAAATATACATACAATATAGTAAGCTATCTGAATTATATATATAACAAATAACTAGTATAGGAGGCTTGTAGAAGGTTTCTATTTCTAACAGAATAAACTACTGGTTCAAATGTATCATTGGAATCATTTATAAAGAAACTTCAAAGTGAGACTTGTGTAAAACTGCTGAATCAAAACATTCAGTTCTATTATCTTTGGTCTAAATAGTAATTGCAGAGTATCAGTCTGACAACTGAGAAGCCTAATTTGCCTTGCATGAATACTAGTGGATATTTATCACTAAGGAGAAGATTCCCTTAGGCGAGTATTTAACTCTTCTCAGGAAGAGCATACTTTACAAAAAGGTTATGATTTTTCCAAATATTGTGAATGCCAATTAATCTCCAAAAGGGTCACACTTCCAAAAGGCTATGGAGATTCCTGGTTTTCCCAAAAAGTTTTAATCTCTAAAAGGTCATGCCTTTCCAAAAGATTATGCCGTTCCAAAATATTCTAGCATAGGCCTGCACAACTCGTCAGTAGGTTTAGCACCTCTCCCAGGGTTTACGAGAGGGCACCTTTCCCTCAGAGCAAGCAGCAAAGTGGAATAGGTATGATTTCCCACCTCCCTCAGCGTGGTGGCAAATTGAGTTCCTTTTCTGAGGAAAAGAAGAAGTTCCTCAATTCTTGCTTGCACTGCTCTTCCTTTCTGTTTGCCTCTGGGTTGTCTCTATTGTCTCCTCCTCTGGAGGGAAAAACTCCAAACTGCACAGTTCGTTTCCCTCGCTTGTGAGGAAGAAACTTAGCTTTGACATGAAAACCCCTCAACACCTTCATAAAGGAAATGAGCAATGTGGAATTGGAGGTTTTTCTGCTGGCTGAAACATGACAAAAGCAAAGAAAAGAGAGAGTGGCAAAGGCGAGTTACAATTTAACATTAACTGGAGTCCAAAATTCTAACCCCCTCCCAGTTCAAAAAAGCCCAGTACACCTTAAAATTACATCCCCGCTCTCCAGTGCTCTAACTTGAGTCCAGCAGCCTCCCTGAGATCAGCACTTTCAGTGTCCTGACCTGTGGCACTCTTTTTGCCACAGGTTAGTTTGGTAACATTGGTGCATAGAGAAAGGAAACATGTAGAAGTAAAACAATTGGAGTGGAGAATAACAGATTCCAATTCCTACACTTCTGTAGTGCTATACGTTACCTCCCTTTCTAAGACTTGGACTCAGAGCCTCTGCGGGCCGCACCAAAGCTTGATGAGGACCGTATCCAGACTTGCGCCACATGTTGCGCAAGCCTGTTCTATCATAAGCTTTTGTGGACCCCAGACTACTTCATCAAAAGGTGAACAGACATATACAATTAACCCTCTGTATCCATGGATACAAAAAAACACAAGTCAAAAATATCTGGGGAAATTTTTTAAAAAAATCTTGTTTTTATTACAAGTTGAACACTACACTTATGTAGCCACCTACCATTGTACAGATTCTCAGGCACTCAGTTTGAATTGTTCATTATCTTATATAGGGGACAACATTTTATTACATTAATATATGCATATAATGGAAACATACATGGATTTTAGTATCCACAAGGGGTCCTGCAACCAAAACCCACTTGGATGCTATATGGGTCCACTGTATACAAACAGGAAGTAGGAATACTGAAGTGTAAATTCCACTGGAGGTTCCTTTGTTCACAAATGGTCACATTAAGCTCAATGATAATGTTTTTAGAATATTATTTTTTCCTTGTTTCTACACATTTTTCATTCTCATATTGGATTCGCATCTGGTTCTACCTCTACTATAGACACTGACCACTTCATCATATGTCAAATGAAAAATAACAAAGCTGGTAGATGGGAATACATATCCCGTTGAAAGCTTAGCAGATGAAGGATCATATCAGTTGATACTATTTTTGGCATTAAATCCCATACCAATATTATTTAAGTATATAAATGTATAGAGTTGATATACAGATCTGTTGTGGGGCCTGGCCTTTTTGGATCCCTGTTATTTGGATTTGGTTGCGTATTATTGATTTACGTTGAAGGACTCACCATTATTTGTTGTTATGTGTAATCAAGTCAGCTTTGGACTTAAAGCAATCCTATGAATGAGATACCTCCAAGAAATCCTATTACCCCAACAGCCCTCTTAAGGTCTTAAAAACCCAAGGCCTTCTTTATTGAGTCATATCTAACTGTCCTGTAAATCAAGGAAGGGCTATTGCTTAGTCCCTATGAGAAAAGAAGGATCATTGTCCAGGAAAATGTGTGAATCATTGATGAGATGGAGGAGTGGTTCAACTCAGAGATATGAGAGATTGTATTCAACTAGAAAATAAAGAACAGTTGTTGCCAGTGAGCACCATATGGTTGTGAATCTTAGCAAATGGGAAAAAATGTGGTTCCTCTGCATCAAATTACTTTAAAAGTATTGCTTTAGATCAGTGGTTATCAACCTGTGGGTCCCCAAATGTTTTGACCTTCAACTCCCAGAAATCCTAACAGCTGGTAAACTGGCTGGGATTTCTGGGAGTTGTAGGCCAAAACACCTGGGAACCCATGGGTTGAGAACCACTGCTTTAGGGGTTCATAGAACCTGTTCTTGAAAGGTTCCAGTCATCCTAAAGAAACATTGGGGATACTTTAGATCAGGGGTCCTCAAACTACTGGGCTGGATCCGGCCCTCCAAGGTCATTTATCTGGCCCTCGCTCAGGGTCAACCTAAGTCTGAAATGACTTGAAAGCACACACAACAACAACAACAACAACAACAATCCTATCTCAGCCAAAAGCAGGTCCACACTTCCCACTGAAATACTAATAAGCTTATATTTGTTAAAATCATTTTTCATTTTAATTATTGTATTGTTTTAAAGTGTTTTTGCACTACAAATAAGATATGTGCAGTGTGCATAGGAATTCATTTATTTTTTTTTCAAATTATAATCCGCCCCCCCCCCAACAGTTTGAGGGACTGTGACCTGGTGGCCCTCTGTTTAAAAGGTTTGAGGACCCCTGCTTTAGATCCATGATCATTTTGAGCCCAAGTGGTCTTAGTTGCACAAATTGTATTTTACCAGCTATTGCTGTTACCCCTTCCAGATGTAAATAAATTGGTTTCAAGGATAATAAGTGATAATGGGCATTACTCTCATAAACCTCAAAAGCATCTGGCTCCCCTGTTTGGCTTATAAATGTGAGGAGGTTGAGCACCCAGAGACTGCGTAAGCCTTGCAATGCATAAAATACTCAACATCCTGGAATTTTATAGAACAGCCCAAGATTGTTTTAAATAAAAAAAAAATCTTAATTCATGTTGCTTTTGCTGAAAGTATACTGTCCACACCTCACTGCTTCCTTCAGTCTGCTTTCAACCTTCTAAGAATTACTGGTCTGATCTCAAATTTCAAATAGCGCACATGACATCCATGACTCCAAAAGCAACTTCTGAACCTGCTGGTCTTTGTCAGATTAATTTAGCATCTGTCCATGTCTGTTAGAGCTCCAACATCCTCTTGTAGGAATGTATCCATTTGGAGTGGTACAAGGAAGTTTTCTAAAATGGGAAGAGCAGCTGGCTTTTCCAAACCTAGCCCCCTTCCTCACCCTCTCCCATCTTCTTTGCTGACGGCCAGAATTAATCCTCCTAAGTTTGACTGGAACAGCTGAGAGCATGCATCCTGCATAACTTAAGGCCTCTCAGTGGATTCAAATTGCTTTCTTCCCTTCTCTCTCTCTCTTTCCCACTTCAGTTCTGATTCAAGCAGCTGTCTCTGTCTGGGTTAAATGCAGAGAGAGAGAAAGAGAGAGAGAGAGAGAGGTGTTAACTGATACGATCATATATTTGGTTATGTAAAAAAAAAAATTCCTTCATTGCAGATATCAATGTAGCGTCTCTCTTTTCCCTCCCTCTGCATCGTCTAAAGGATTTGCTATGCTAAGCCCAGCACCTGTCTCTCCCTGGGACAGTTTTAAAAAAAAGAAGAAAAGAGGTCTGGGGGTGGAGGGTGAAACAGTTCCATATGCTTTTGCTGTCCTAGATTGAGTGTGTTCCCACTGACGCACCTAGTGCCCAAAACGTATATCCTTTTGGCTCTTATGTGCTTGCTCGCTTGCTGCCTCCCTCTTTGCCCATTACTGCATTCCCTTCTTCCTGGCTGTCATTCTGCTTGCTTCTGGGAATTGCAGGACAGTTGCTCGTTTTCAGTTTAGGAATCCTGATATAAGAGCTTCTGTCGTTCCATGTGCATTTAGGTATAGCAGCCCTGAAGCTACTGGGAAAGGCAGAAGGTCTGAAGCCAGTTAGACCGTTTATGTACATTTTGAGCTAAGCTAGTATCAACCTGTGTATAGACCCAGAGGCCTGAGCCAAGTATTGCACCGCACTGCCAGGGACCTGTGTATAAGACTGCAAGAGGGGGAAACGCAGACTCAGAGTTCCTGTTTCTTTGTCTGCCTGCTGTGCAGCTGGAGAACCCTTTGGCTATGTATGGTGTATACTGTATGGATTACCAATACCCAGTTGTGCAGGTAAGTAGAAAACATCACAGTTCATTACCTCTTCATGTTGTGCATGATTCCCATTGAACATTATTAGTTCTCTTTGCTGCTTTTGAGAGGAGAGTGTTCTTTTTCCAAGCTCAGCTATTTTGGTGCAGTATAAATCCAACTACACATTCTCAAAGGGACTTTTTTGTTTACCTTTTGCCGAAGTTATTGCTCGAGATATGTGGGTCTTAAGGAAATGATTTTATTTCAAATTATTCTTTCGTTGCATTTTTAAGGAGTAAAATGTAGCTTTGTTAATGCTAAAACCCATCATCTAGTATTCTATGAAAATTTCTTATTGGTTAATGAGTACTGCATCACTAAGGTACATGTGACTTGAAGATACTCCCTGTATAGTTCCAGCAACCAGAAGAATAGCATTTCCATCTAGAACTCACTCACCATGTGTACTGTGATCCACTCTAGCTTTCTGTTATTTATGTTAATAGTAAATGTTCTAATTAAATAAACTGAATGGTTTTATATTTAATATTCCTGGTGTTTGTGGGTATCTCTAGGTGTGATTTTATTACATGCTTCCAGCTCAAATATATTCAAAATACAGAGTTAGCTATTATCCACAATTTCAGTTATCCTTATTTGTGGGTATGCCTTGGAGCATATACCAGGAGTTGTACAATAAAGTCAAAATGATGGATAGTGTTTGATTATATGTATTTACTCAATCATTGTTTCTCCTCTTTTTCTTCTCTTTTCTTTTTGCGGTTTCAATATGGGGATTTGGTATTCTAAGTGTAATAAGGAGTTAGTCATTATTTTTAGAAAATTGGAGTTAGGCTTGAGTATAACAGCTTTTTGTTTTGGCCTAATCCAGTTGCTAGTCCCAACTAGAGTAGACATTTAAATTAACTGCTGAAAAGTCAACACCTAAGCATCTCCTATTGCTTTATCATTACTTGGGACTAACATTTGGATTTAGGGTACTGTATTTAGTAGGAATTCAGGCATGTAAACCTTTGAGGTAATTGGAACTTCTACTTCAATAGGCAGCATAAAGGCCACTGCATAAGCTAGCTTCAGTTTCCAGAAAAGTTATAGTGTTTCTTTTTTCATTTTTATTTCTTCTCACTATCATGTTTTCTAGATCTGCTGCATTATAGCAGCTCTCTTTACATGTGTACTTCTGTGCACAATCACTTGAAAGTAAATACTGTGTGGGTAAGCATAGGGGTGTGATGCAATTATTTTATTCATCAGAATTATTGCTGGTTTATTGTAATATATCATTTTCTGTAATAGTGCATTTGTCCCAATCTGAGAGGCAATCATCCTGAAGAACTAGGTCAGAAGGAATATATTTGTAGTAATAGAAACCTTTCTAAAGTGATCAGTTGGTGCTGACTTCATTCTGAACTGATAGTGAGTTATTTTGACTTCATTTTATTTGGGAATATTTGATAAGAAAGAGTAACCTATTACGATATGTTCTGCTTCTTTTCATCTGTATATTTCTTACATTTTTGTTATTGGTGGCAATCACACTGTACTTAATAGATATTTAGTGGTACCAGTTATACTTATGGGATAGCTGATAGAGCATGCTATATTTAATATTACTTCACTGATGAAGTTACATCCAGATATAGACTGTTAATTCTTTTAGGGTAAGCTTTTGGGGGCTTCCTGTGCTTCATTTTGCATGTCTACTGCTATTGCAATTGGAAGGAATGGTTAATTATTGAGTTTTAAAGGAACAAAGATCTGTTTTAACCCACTGCTTACAGAACTGTGGGATCAGCTGTTCTGAAGTAGTTCTGTAAATTTGATACTTTTTGCATACTTTTAAAGTGAAATTTTAAAATGTGTATGTGTTGCATATTAATATTTTGTACTTCAGATCATTCAGTTCTATATTAAATGTGTCTGTTGGTTGTTATCATTCTCACAAATCAAGTTATTTAAACTTGTGTCTTATTTATACACGTTAATTTATACTTGTGTCTAGTATACTTGTGTTATACTAGAGAGGAGTCAGTGTCAGTGACTATAATGGTTTGAGCGTTGGAGAATTCTGGAGAACAGGGTTCATATCTGCACTTGGTCATGGAAACCCACTAGGTGAGCTTTCGCAAATCACACTCTCTCGGCTTCAAAGAAAGGTAAAATCCCTTCTGAACAAATCTTGTTGTGAATGCCACATGATAAATTCGTTTTAGGGTTGCTACAAGTCAGATACAACTTCAGGATACACAACAACAACAGTTTATTCTTGGGTGCAGAAATGTATTGCAGATTTGTTCCTCACTCTTTGAGCTGGTACAAAAATATAGATAATATGAGTTAAAATTTAGAAGGCCCATAAGGCAAAATTAACTTCAACAAAAAAGTTGCATATTTTGGTGAGAAAATAAGAATTACTTCCTGGTTTACCACCAAAGGGTGATATGTATATTTATTGGAAGCATTACACTTGGTCATTTAGCCAAAAAAACAAGATAAAACAAAACAAAAAAACCTTCTGAAGCAGCTTGTTTATTTGTGTATGTGCCTTACAGAGGTTTAACATGAAAGTTCTTCCCCATGTTCGTTATTTAAGTAAGACACAAGAGTTAAGAGATGAGGAGGAAAGACGGGTCAAATTAAGTTCAACAGCACCTAAGTTCTACACAGTGGAGGTTTGTTAGCCTTCTTTTCTACTTCGGGCACCAGAGTAGTAATTGGATGGCTGGAGGGAAGGTGCTATGAATGTGTGCTTGACTACCATTATCCCTCAGAGCAGTAGCAGTGGAAAATTTGGAGGAAGGGACCCCCTATCTTTTAAAACAAGACAATGTACAGGGTACAGCAGCATAACTTGCTTTTTTCAAAACTTAATAAAACCCATTGTATGAATCAGAATTTTTTTTAATAATGTAGGCGCATACCTAAAGGTAGGTGACATCCCCCATTCTCCATACACCGAGTAAACCGATTTCTGGCATTTGTCATGACTCTTGCCAGCATAGCAGGTGTTATGTTGGCAATTTCTTCCTGGATGTTGGTCTTTAAATTTTGTAGGGTCCTTGGACAGTTCACATAAACATGGGATTTCAAAAAAAAAAAAAAAACCCATAGAAAATAAATCACAGGTGAATGCAAAGGCCTTTGATGCAATTCTCGAGGATTGTTGTCAGCCCAGTAGCGCATGTTTTGTTTGTTGACAGATCCACACAAATGAAAATGGGCTTCATCACTAAAAAAAAACAATAGTGTCCTCAGGAACGACTTCGAGAAGAACCTCACACGCATTCCTCCGAGAATTGAAGTCACGTTCAGAAAGTTCCTGCACAATCACCATCTTGTAGGGATGGAAATGAAGATCATCATGAAGAATTCTCCTCACAGAACGATTGGAAAATCCAAGGGCAGACGCATGTTTGCGCGCAGAACGCCTTGGTGATTGCAACATTGAAGCGCTCACTGCCTCAATGTTCTCAGGTGATCTAATAGGCCGAGGGACTCCAGTTCTTCGTCTTGTCGCACTTGCAGTTTGTCTGAATGTAGTGACCCACATAACAATTGATTTCCGGGACAGGGGCCAATGGGGCTAAATTAAAGCAAATCTGAAAGGCGCGCTGGGTTGCAATCACAGAACATCTGCTCGAAAAGTAGGCCTCAACGGCAAAAGCACGCTCCTCACTGTTCCAACGCATGATGACGACTGAACTGTGTCAGGACAAAACTTTATACTCCTGCCTCTCGAATGAAACCACTAGTGCTCCACTACGTCTTCAACCGACTGAATGGCTCACATTTTTAAAAAAGAAGTTCTGTTGCCGCACCTTGTACTATATGTCAGAGGTGCCCACATATGTCTGGACAATACAATCTGAATATTACATAGTGTGGGATTCTAGCCTGTATTAGATTCTGTACCATCCTTCTCAAATGACTGTCAACTTCCCAAATAATCGCTGTGCAAGAGAAAATGCTTCAGGCGATATCAAAATAGCATATCCAAAAGCCAAGAACCTGAACAATATCTGTCAAAAGCATGACTATGATGATTATTATTGCCTATTCTTTGAGAAGGATGGGGAAAGGTTACAGAAGGAAATAAATGTAAAGATCATTTGAACATACTATCTGTAGTTCGACACATTTCCTTAAGGCAGCGTTTCCCAACCTGGGTGTCGAGATCCCGGAGGGGGGAGGGTCATAAGGGGATGTCAGAGGGGTTGCCAAAGACCATCAGAAAACACAGTATTTTCTGTTGGTCCTGGTAATTCTGTGTGGGATCCCCATGACCAAATGCCACCAGTGTTCACATTTGGGCATATTGAGTATCTGTGCCAAGTTTGGTCCAGATCCATAATTGTCCATGACACCTCACAACCTATGAGGATGCCTGCCATAGATACAGGCAAAACGTCAGGAGAGAATGCTTCTAGAACATGGCCATACAGCCCGAAAAACCTACAACAACCCAGTAAAAATCTAGTTTAAAAACAGAAGCAATGAAAGTCAATCGACCCTCATACATTATTAAGAGCACAGAAAAACAGAAAATATAATAAATAAATGCAGCTAGCTCAAAGCCGAAAGGAAGGCTAGCGGCCGACGGTACTGGAGGTGAACGACGAATCAGATGCTCTAAAGATCAACACACCATAGGAACCTGGAATGTAAGATCTATGAGCCAGGGCAAATTGGATGTTGTTATTGGTGAGATGTCAAGACTAAAGATAGACATTCTGGGGGTCAGCGAACTGAAATGGACTGGAATGGGCCACTTCACATCAGATGACCACCAGATCTACTACTGTGGACAAGAGGAACATCGAAGAAATGGAGTAGCCTTCATAATTAATAAGAAATTCGCTAAAGCGGTGCTTGGATACAACCCAAAAAATGACAGAATGATCTCAATTCGAGTGCAAGGAAAGCCTTTCAACATTACAGTGATCCAAATATATGCCCCAACCACAGCTGCTGAAGAAGCAGAAGTAGATCAGTTCTATGAGGATCTGCAGGACCTACTG